TGTTTCTGCATACGACTGTCAGTTTATTTTATGAGTCAATCGATCTGACTCATTACGCAATCACCTCTGTCATTTGGATTTTTATTATTATTTTTCAAGTTGAAAAAAATTATTTCTCTTTATATTATTGAATTTTTAGTTCTTTACATTTGTACATTCGTCGACTTTTCATAATTATTTCCCGCGAAAAATTATCGCATAGAAGAAATTATGGATCATTCGTATCAGTACAATAGTAGGATAAGTATCCAGGAAGGAAAGCCTGTTTGGAAGAAAATTTCTAATTTATTAGGAACAATAAATTTATTCATTCATAAAAAATACAACTACCCACTATTTGTAGGGGATATTTTCTCATAAATCTCTCGACTCAATTCAATTGCTGATGAAGAGCTGTTGAATGTGCCGGAAGGTATTTTGACAGATGTCTGTCTATGTCACAGTCCGATTACCCAGAAGTGATTCTGCATCTGCAATTTCCATATCAACCCGTGTGCAACGCTCCGTCGACTCGTCTAAATCGATGATGATGTTCGTGATATCCAAGAGAAGGGGGCAAATAGTGGAATCAACATTGTTACATGTATCAAAAGTAACTTCCGTGATCGTGCAGCAGTTCACTTTGTCCTTATTTAAAAAATCCAACTTCCTCGATCACTTTGTCTCCAACGACTCCAATTTACACGCTAAATTGTCTTCAAATCGTGGCAATGAAATCGACATCTCATCTGCGCCGAAGAATGGCTTTTAGGTTTTATCGATCATGACTTTGCATTTATGCTGAGTGAAAGTGATCTCGGAATCAACAAGATGTAAAAGCCGTCCACCTTCAGGAATTTTTTTCCTCCCTTGTGAGATAATTCGGTTATTTGCCGCCCCGAATCCCGTAAAAATAGTATTCACGCTCTTGGAAGAAGAGAAAAAGTCAAACAAAATTATAGTGTTGAAATTTTCGTAAATTTTAGTAAAAATATCATCTGAATTTTTAAGTCCGTGAATTTGAATTCAACATCAATTGAATATCGCTGCTAAATTTTTCATATTGAATGATAATTATTTTTTTAATGGAAAATTGAATTTTAATGGTCATTTTCAGTTGAATTTCCAATGAATTAAAAACTCGAGGGAGTTATAGCCTGAATTTCTAACATTTTCGGAGGTTTAAATGCCATGTGGACTTGAGAAAGAGAATTTCGAGAATATTCAACAAATGTTAAAAATTTCAAAGTTTTTTACTTGAAATTCCAACTGTAATTTATCCACCGGTGTACACCACCGAAAAATCCATTTAAATGTTGAATTAATTAATTAATTGATTGATTAATTAATAGGGAGACGAGGTGGTTCAAAAGGTCAGGGGCATTTCGGATTGTATTCGAGTGACATTAGAAAATCAAGAATTCCATAGCAACAATATGAACTAATTAACAGACGATAGAAAATTGATAAAAATTGATAAATAATTGACGAAAATTGCAGGAACTATCGAGTGGATCGGAAGATGATCTCGTGGTGGTACCAAACGTGCCAATGCTATCAGCAACGAGTCAATCCCGTCATGCAGCCCGTTTTCTGCGTCTCGCGATGGCATCGATAATGGATATCCTGAAGATAAAGCCCTTCGTCGAGGTCTCAATTGGTCAACTCCTCTGGGGCTACGAGGATCCTCTCCTCAAGCTCGCCAAAGATGTCGTTCCAAAGGAACAAAAATTGCCGTACGATCAGTTTGGCCTTCTCTACGGCAAAAACGGCACTCATCCCGATACCTACACCATCTTCACTGGTGCTACTGATATCACTAAATATGGACTGGTTGATCGATTCAATGGGAAGAATAGTATTGGACATTGGACAACTCCAGAGTGTGATACACTGCTCGGTGGTGATGGCAGTATTTTTCCACCGCATATTACCAAACAAACTCTTCTCAAGATCTTCGACAAGGACCTCTGCAGAACTCTACCGCTCGTTTTCAAGGTAAACCACATTTTTGTCATCGATTTTTCGGTTACATGTATCAATAATATTTGTCAAATTATTTATCGTCAAAATACCATTTCCAAAAATATTTTAATACATTTTTAGATTCTTCTCTCAATTTATGGGGAATTATTTATCGTTATGAGTCTAGACCTCTCGAGATGGCGAACTCAAGTTTTAGTGAATAACAAACTTATCTACGCGGTTCTATTTGAAACTGACAAATCAGTTTGTCATAATTGAATTTTTTCAGGCGTTGAGGTAAATTTTATGATAGAAAACTATAAAAATCATATTTTAATATCTGTTCAGCTGTATAACACAGATTGTTGTTCAAATCTCTTTCCGCCACATTAAATTGCGTAAAAAAATGTGGAACTGAAATAAAATTATTCTGTATATATATGTGTAGAAAATATTATAATATTGTTTGAAATAAATGGAATTTTCACGTGCAGGAGGAAGTTATGACGAATGGAGGAGTTCCCGGCTACCGTTTTACCCCACCAAAGGATGTATTTACATCACCTGACAAGAAACCCTCTCAGTCGTGCTTCTGTCCAGGAGGTCCACCCTGTGCTCCAGAGGGAACTTTCAATGTATCCCTCTGCCAATACGACTCACCTGTCCTCATCAGCTTTCCCCACTTTTACCTGGGTAAGTTCAAAGTTCATTGAACCATAACGACAATTTCTCGCAATCCACCGAAGATAAAAAGAAATAACAACTCCAGACGGGAATGGAGTTTTCCTGGGCGTCAAGTACAGTTCCATATATTTGTTTTTTTATTCACGAGAAACAATGAAAATTCGTGAGAATTGGTAACAATATATTCCCAGGCGTTTGGTGTGCTGTTAATTTACTGTGGGAAGATTGAATTTTTTATTAGTGTTCTTCATTCATTATTATTTCTGTTATTTAAGAAGCTACTAAATAACATTGCTTTTACTTTCGAGGAGACTTTAATGATTGGGGTGAATTACAGCGGGGAAAATTTGAGTCTGTTACTCGGGTTTTAGAGCGCTTTCGTCGTTTCACCATTCTAGCTGGCGAATTTGTACGTCAAGCGTCGATGAAAATTACTAATTAATTAAAAAAAAAAAAATACTAATTACTAATTAATACGGCTGTATTCATGAGTCACTTTGTTTAGCTAGCTAGTCTTGCCTTGAAAGGCGTGCACTTGAATTTAATTTTTGTACAATTCTCCATTGACTGCTTAATTCTTGAATTTTCGAAATAACTGAGATAATCGTAATAGATAATCAAGAGATATCAATGAGTTCCAACAAATTAGGGTAAATACCTTCTCTCTCGACCCAGGGATTATACACATCAATATAGGAAATGAATCTGGAGTCCGAGAGAATGAAAAGATATTTATTTATTAAATTACACGATTGAAGGATAAAAAAAACACGTGGGAATGTTGCAATAGTGGATTTTCAATGATTTGACAGCCGATCCTGCATTACGAGAAGCCGTAATCGGTATTTCACCACCAGAGGAAGAGAAACACGCTCTGTACATCGATGTTCAGCCACTGATGGGGACAACCCTGAGAGCACGAGCTCGTGTTCAGATCAATCTTGCTGTGAGCCAAGTCAGGGACATCAAACAGGTCGCCTCCTTCCCAGACATAATTTTCCCCATTATGTGGTTCGAGGACGTAAGTATCTTGACACAAAACTAAACTCAATATTTCACGGTGGAATAAATCGAAACCTCGGGGATTATTTCAAGGAGATATTTACATTTCCGCCTGTTTTCTCCATTATGAAGACTTCGAGGGGAATAAATCTCACTGCAACTTTTTTAGTTAAAATTTCATCGCCGTTGTAATTATCTCGGGGAGAAAAAGAGAATTGTTGTGACTGAGTCTCTAATTAGAGGAGATTAACGATTTTTTTAAGTTTTCATAGCAAATCATTGGGTGCAAAATCCTCAAGTTCTTTTTCTATGGAAAAGAGTCGAGAAAGCAATAGTCAACTGCAAACATTTAATTGGACCCTTTTCTCCTATTTTCTGCTCATTCAAACATAAAAATTATTATTATTATCGTTATTAGGATTATTATTTAAGATGCATAAAGCACAATTGTCTAACAGGTGTGTGATCTCTAAATATTTTCACATTTTTGTTAAACAATTGATTTTTATTTAATGCTCAGGCTGTTGATGGGCTGGAGTCAGAAGTGATATCGTTGATGAAAATCGCAGTGGATGTACCTCCAATAGCTCGTGCAGCAATTTCCGGGGCCCTAGCAGCTATCGGTGTAATAGTTCTGGTTGGAGCCCTTTTCTGTTTAGCGAGAGCAGCAAAACGTCAAGAGAAACTCCACCTCAGCAATCCTCTGCCTCCAGGTGCCACCACGAAACAAGGAAATCTCAATCCTGCCTTCCAGGGTCCAAAGTAAACCCCAAATAAATGAAATCCAATGATTAAGTCAATACGAAACAGTACGAAAGACAGACTGGACTATGGAAAGGGGAAAATTGTGGATTACCACTGGAATTATCATGCAATTGTTTGCGAAATAATTTTTTGTGCAATTATCGTGGGAAAGGTGAGTGATTGCGGGATGTACCACGACGAGACGTAAAGTGAAAGCTGAAGGGGAGGAAAGTTACGAACACGAGTCATTCCTCCCTCTTCAAATCCTTTACTCCTCGTTATTTCATATCTCTATTCCAACGATTCTACTGGCTGAAATACATATGGCGAGATCATTAGTCGTTGTAGGTCGGGGTCAAGAGATTAATGAAATCTATAAATGGAAAATGTTTTTTCTGTTTTTATTTTACTACATTAGGAAATTCCGAAATGACTCTCGTATCGCTGATAACAATTTTTTAAATGTCTTTTTTTTTGTCCGATTTAATAAACTGTGACGCAGAAAAATTCCCGATGATTTCATTGCGATGAGAATAAACAGAAATTGACTTCCGAATTTTTGGCGATTTTTATGTTTGTGAGTTATTGCAATCGCAGGAAATCCACATTGACTTCTTTAAATGTTTTTCGGACATTGATTAAAATCTTTTGTCTTATTATTCGTTGGAGTGAATGGGGAATTCTAAATCACGAAAACATGAGGAGAAAAATTGAAATTGTTTGGTCTAGAGATAATCTTCAATTTGTTCTTCAGGGAATTGTGAATAAATGTTTACGGGAATTATTGCGCAAAAGTGCTCTCGAAATTAGTAATAATGACGCTCAAGATGTGCAAGGATGATTAGTTATGGCGGTGAATCTCGTAAGCGCTAAGTATTCTGGATAAAATTAAAAATTGTAACAGAATTTGTGTGAGAATTACGAGTCCGTCCAGGGTGAGGGAGAAAATGGGTGTGGGTCTGAAATTATTGCTATTAAGTATCTCAGCAACTGGACAATTCATTAATTAAATTCATTTCGACTCAGCCCACAATCAAACTCCAATGGATGTCATTGTATGTAATTTGTACTATTATATGTTATCCTCCTTGTATATGTTTTATTATAAAATATTTTTTAAATAATTAGACTATAGGTGAACATTGTTAGGTGATGATGTGGATACAACAGTTTTGTACAGATAAAGATGAAAAGATAAACCTCTTTTATTTTATTCAAAACTACATTTTCCCAGGAAATATTTACGTTACATAAATCGAATTTCTAAACCGCAAATTATTCAACATAAAATTACAACTTTTTAATATTTTTATTATTTATTTCAGTGAAAAATACTTCAGATAAATCTGCAATTGAATTTCATAATTTCATAATGCTAATTTTCTTTTCTAGCAATGATTTTTCATTTATTATTTATGTAAAAATACCATAAATATTTCGCAACATATTTCATGAATGGAAATGGCATAACTGCGTGATTTTACATTCGTCACACGCAGTGTCATGACTACGTGTTCTGAATTTGGGGAGCAGTAATTGACGCAATGAAATGTCTCATTGAATTTGAATCCGCACAGAACACGAATAAGCCAAAAATTTCATCACCCGATAATTTTATTGATTCAACAAAATCGTCGCAGGTCGAGAGATCATATCGTCTCGATAACCGAGAGGGAACGTGTGTTCCTGCATCACTCGGAACAAGATTAATTCGATACCAGAGTTTATCTCTTGGAAAGTTCTCGATAAACATGCAGTTAAGTAAACCCGATAACAAGTGATTACAAACCAATAATGAACAATCACGCGGGCAGTGATTAGCTTACACCACTCGGTCCGTTAATGAATGATTCTCCGCGATTATTAGTAATTATTCAAGCGCAAGAATTAATCGCATTTGAATGCTATTCGACTTGTCATCACGCCTTACAATTATATGAATACAACATTTTAATTACTAACCAGCAGTTGTCAATTTACAATTCAATTAGTATCTTTCGTAAAAGACTTCATAATTTTGTTATTTATTCAGTAATTAACAATACTAAGAAGTCTCTGGGAATTATTTGTCATGGAATTGAATGCAATTCAAGAGAAAATCTTCATGCATTTGAGAACGATTTAATAGTAAAGTACTGAACAATTAGTCTTTTATATTTATTGTGATTTTTCATTTCACTTCAAATCAGAAAATCTAATTGATCTCATGTAAAATTCTCTCAATTAAAAAAAAAGTCTTTAATATTAATAAATTCATCTTTTTTTTATTAAAAGAGTTCTATTAATTTTATTATTAAAAATTGAGAGAATTAGTGGATCTCCTGTCGAATTATTTCAGTACCGCTTCACTATTGAAAACAGCATTTTCCTTGTATAAATTAAACCGTTGAGGGATTATTATTAACAATATTCTTAATGTAACAGTCTTATGACAAGTCCCTCACGCAGGCGCATGGGAATTAAACGGTAACAAATAGGAAATATTTCCATTTTCCTCGGGTATTCCATCTGCAAATTTCTCAAATCTGAAGTGAGAAAATTGTTCTGACAATTGATCTATTGAATTTTTTTTCTTTTTCAACCGCTTTCTTGAAGCAGTTTATCCTGACCCGACGTGTTCCTCTTGAGGACGGCATGCTGTTTCCGGTTTCTTCGAAGGAGGAAGAGTAAAGCTGACGTGGAGAATATCATCCCGACAATACTGCCCCATTGGAAAAAAGCCTCGGCAATGGCCACTGAGAAGTACGCGTGATTCAGAAGATTCAGGATGTTCTCTGGCATCGAATCGATTCCCATTTCGATCCACACGATCGGGAGGATCTGACCGTCTTTCACGTTCTCCAGAAATGGAACACCCGTTGCTTTCCTGGCTTCCACATTGATTTGAATTCTCGAATGTCCACCAATCAATAATCCCAGTCTCTGAAATCATTAAACAATGAAATTCTAATTAAATGAGAATAAACCGATTAATAAACAGTATCTTTGAACGAAAATTCAAGTTGCCTCTCGTTACTGAGTTGTTCATTAATTTCCATTAAATTCATAATAAAATTTCATAATTTCATTTAATGGAATTATGAATTATGAATTATGGAAAAAAATTTTATTTAATGGAATTATGAATTATGAAAAAAAAAATTATTTAATCGAATTATGAATGAATAAATATAATGAAATTTCATTTTTATTGTTCTTTGAATTTTCTGAACAATTTACAAATCTAAAATCATCTTGTCTCGTTTGAACTCTTGGTAATGGTAAATATTTAAATACTATAAACAATGCGAGATTTCCGTTCCTCCTACTGTAATCGAAAGTCAATCGAATTATCAGACTGTCTGAGAATTGTCGAGTTATCACTGTGTACAGTAGAAATTAAAAGAGATCTCACCGGATGCACCTCCAGGTGGGACTGATGGAGTTCAGCTTTTGGATTCAAGCCTTCGATATTGGAAAACAGACTCTCCTCTCCTCCGAAAAAATGAGGGAATGATGCCAGCATCGGAGTGTCAAAAGCACATGCAGAAACATTAAAGATTCCCTTCGGAGGACACGTACGGTCCCACGGATTATGATTGAATTTTGATTTTCTCGGGCAGTAGCAGTGATCTTTCTCGGGAGAGAAATTGAAATCGTCGGCTGGTGGTTTGAAACTGGAACAATAAATTAAAAAACCCATACATTCACTGATTCACATCAAATTAAAAAAAAATGTCCGTAGAAAACACTAGCTTCCATAAAAAATACCATTCATTATTTATTTTTTCATTCATTCAATTATTATTATATACATTATATAGATCCATAATATTTATTATTGTTCATATCAATTTAAAAAATCTTGCATTAAAATAATTACAAGTAAACACAAATGATATTTTGTCATGGTTCATGATTAGTGATTAATTAATGGCGATGATTTGTTTAACTTGATCGACTTGCATGCGCAGTTTTTTTTAGATTTGAAAAGAAAAAAATACCTCATCGTGGGAATTCCATATGAAGAGCCTTCCCCCGCTCTTTCAAGCTTGAACCCACGACACATGTCAACAGCATAAATATCCAATGATTTTTTAGGATCTCTGTACATCTCCGGTGGATAGAGAAAACCAGCAGATCCATAAATTTTATCACAGCTGTCATCCCCCCAGGTATTTCGATACTCTCTACCATTGACACGTTCGACCATTCCCATTTTCGAGAGATCGCCCTCCCCCGTGTGCATCGTGATTACGTCTTTCGAGACTCCCTTTTTCTGCAACAATAATATAATATAATAATCATTTACATTTCATGAGTTATCACCACGATGAGGTCTCGGACTCGAGTCATTATTCAAGAAAATTTAAATATAATAAATTAAATGCACGCGCATAATTCAGAGACTGTAGGTATGAATAATAATTTACCAAGTGGATTTGATAAAAAGTTTATGAAGTATCAATGAATTAATGAAGTATCAAGAAATGACTTTTGGATGAATTATTCAAGAGAATCTGACGGTTTTTATACATTGTGAGTATCTGTTGGAGGAAAATCAAGAAATTTACGTACTTTTGTTATTTAAAGTCAGAAGATCATTCGATTGGGATACGTATAGTTATTATTACTCGTAAATCGATTCACATGGGATTTCCACGCATTTATCTAACGAATTTTTGGAAAACACACTGGCGATATCATTACAAATCTTTAGGATAAGTCAATATTTATCAATTATATATCATATTGAGAACCACTAATTCCGATTGAATTAAATAATTTCATTTGTTATCTCCGCAGATCCTGATGTATTCGCTTTTCATGTACGAATTCATCGAATATAATGCAAAATCGCAGAGAGCAAACAACAATTATAAAAAAATAATTTCATATAATATTTTTATTAACATTAAGCTGATTCAATTGTATACATAATCACATACAAAACACGAAATGAAAGAATAAATAGAAGACTGAATTTAGGCTGAAAGTAATGGTTTGTCTGTCTTAAAAATGATTGTCTATTAATTTTCCAACTGACCATAGCAAGCACTCCAAATTTATCCATGGGTATGTCCCCGAGAAGACTGAGCAGAGGCTGAGCAGCATCAAAAATTTTATCATCATATCCCCATAGAAATCCTCCAACAGGAAGTGACACGAAGGTCTGAGGTACGAAGGTACTGATGGCAAAAGTCAGCCCCAACTGTGTGAACATGTTCATGTCCCTGGCAAAAGCCATTGTCGTCAGCAGAGGAATATTGGGTACAACAACGACATCATCATCAGGACTGCCCCCTTCCCACTGGAACGAACGTTTCTCCTGGAAGGACAGTGTCCCATTCGGATAAAAAATTGTATTGACCCTCGTGAGGGTCTCCCTGTAGATGTACGGACCAACTTCCTGGACCCTCAATTTCGCACTCCTTCCCTTCGTGAAGTCCTCAATATTCGTGTAATTGAAGATTCGGATCTTGTAGGCTGCGCGAATTGGAGGGCGAACCCACCAGTCCAGCATCGGGGAATTTCGCGTTACCACTAGGTTCGATATTATCAAGTTGGAGAAAAAATCGGTGCACCAGAAGATGACGAAGACGATGATGCTGGAGATCGTCATGGTCATCAATGAAGCCGTTAGACACTTTTGACTGCGATATGATGAGCATCTGTCCGAATCTCTGCAGATTTGCGTCATTTTTATGCACTTAATTCACGATTGATCACACAAATTGATTTGAAAATCTCTTTTCTTTTTTTAATAATTCAAGTCAGGTTGAAGATCGATTTTAGGGAACAGACGTTGTTAGAGAGAATTACCGGAGATTTTTGGATCGTTCATCGTTGAGGTAATTCATTCACTGGGATAATCGGAGGATTTTATTGATTCACTCATTCAATGTCACGTTTGAATTAGCGAGGAAATGAGTAATTAATTCTAGAGCAAGTGATTCGATGAATGTCGATGCTCTGACTGACATAAAGATTGAGCATCAGTCGTACAAAAATCCTCGTCTTCACTTGGTATAATTTTTTCACTTCAATTCCACCGATAACCTTCGTCTGAGAATTGACCCTCGTGGCAACACCTCCCAGATAATCACCAGCGAGAAGTAGTCAGGATGGGGTTGTCATCTCTCACATTGTCGTATGAGTGGGGGACATTAGGCGTTCGATAAATTTATTTAAAAAATTACCGCAACAGGTAGCGATAGCAATCTCGGACTTTTCATTGCGAAATTTAATCAGGAATTCCTTCAGAAAATTACGCCCAAAAAATATCATTTTTTTACATTAGGTAATTTCTAGTCGCATTTCCAGAGGAAAATTCCTTTATTATATTATTGAATTTGAATAGATAATCACGTGCAGAGGATTAATTTACCAGAGTACAGCGATTTAAAAAAACGTGGAAAGAGAAAAAAGGAACAAAAGAATAATGTTTATCCAAGGAATATTCAAAAGAAAGAAAATATTGAAGTAAAGAAAAGGGAGAAGAATTACCCCGTAGCAAATCGTAACAAATCATTGTGAATTTTTTATTTTTCCGACATGTGCTTTAATGAACTTTGCCTAATCAAGTAATAATAATGATAATTGGAATGTTCGACTGGCGTACGTCTGGCATCAGACGATTTATTTTCATTCAATCGTCATGAACTGTAAATTTGTTGGTCATCTCGACGGATAATGCAATATCCCGGGAAATGTCTCCCGCAATTTTTTCTTGTTGTGGAAGAAAAAAATGTTATTATGACTGGAGATAAACTGTCCCCATGCCCCTTATCCGAATTATAGATTGTAAGTGTAACGTAATGTCTGAGGGTTCGTAATCTCCCGCAGACATTTAAAAAATTATCGATATTTTTTTCAAACAGCACTGGCTCTCATTTTCATGGATCATTTTCTCTTAATTGTTTTCCAACTGATTGAGTTGTGAGCGGAATTATTCGATGACTCGATAGAGAATTTATTCCCTCCGATTATTACCTGGAAATAAAACTTTTTTGTGAATAGAAAATATTTCTTATTCCTTCATTACTCGACGAATTTCGTAGGACTTGTATTCCATGTTTATGAATAATTGTTTAAAATTTAAGTGCAAAAATTTAATGCACTTGTATGGATTAATACTGGCGACATTGTTTATTTAATGCGCATAAATTTATTGTGCGGAAAAAGTGGAGTGTCGTTTAAAAGAATCTCATGAAAAATAATGTAATGGCTTAGGGTTCGCAATCTGCCACAGACAATGAAAAAATTATCGAGGTTTTTTTAGGTGAAGCTTCATTAACTCTCACTTTCATGGATCAATCTCTCTTAATTGTTTTGAAACCTCTTAAATTGGGACTGATTGAATTATTAAGCAATACGATGGATAATTTTTCGATATATTTATTATGCATGAACAAATATTCCACTCCTACAACAATGATAACATTTTTCCATAATTTTCCTATTTTCAAGGTTTTATAATTATTCACAACGCAAATATCTGTGAAATCATTAATTGATGAAACAGTTGATTATGTGAAAAAAAAATAATTTCCCTCTCCAAAAGTAAAAAATAAGAATCTCAATTTTTTTATGGTATTATTTTTCCAGAATGAGTGTGACATCACTGGCTAGTTGATTGAGAGCTTCCATTGATTTTTCACTCAATCATTGATTTAAAATAATTAAAATAATTAAGGAATTCTCCCGCCATAAATTTGAAAACCCACGGTCGATAACTTGAGCGGCTCACGAGCTGTGATAAGCTATCTGGTGTTGAATGTTGGAAACATATGATTATATCCGCTCTGTCTAAATTTCTTCACAGGGGAAATCCCTATTGTAAACGCTCCCAGGGCCACCGCCTCTCTCATTGGTCCTCTCGATTTCAACGAGCCAATAGGACCAATTGAGGTTAACCTGACCGACAACTACACATTTGTGTTGAGCGCATTGTTCAGTAAATAAACGAGTGGTGCGTTGCAAAAATTGAAAGTCATGCGAATTTGCATTAACAATTGAAAAATACAATATTCCTAATCGAAAGCGACAATTCGATACCAGTGAATCCCCGAATTAATACCATCTCAAGAGTCATTAACTTTCGTGTGTTTAACCTGGGATAAAGAAAAGTGCACACTCAAGAAATTTTCAACAGGGATGTCCGCCTTTATGCGTCGAATCCGCGATCAGTAATTCCCCTGTTCTTTTACCTAGAATCCAGCACACCACAACGTGCCTCTATCAATTACTCTATTAAATCTCCCCAATAAATCCCTTAAAAAATCGTTTAAGTACTCAAGAACATTGAATTATTCCTCAATTAAACAATTATCAACCTTAACATCAATTAAATAATAAATAATATCAATGTGAGCCACGAAAACTTATGGATAGTCGATCGTCCTTGATTTTCACAACATCTCGAGTCACTATATAATTTTGGAAAAATAATAGACAAACTTTATAAAGAGAATTAACAAGAGATAAAAAATAAACATTTTTTATAAAATTTGAAAGTGAGAAAAATCGTTAAAAAATTCACATAATCCTACATAATTTTGCGACGAGTAAGAATAAATGAATTGATAAATGAAAAATGGAAAATCTTGTTGCTGACGTAGCGAAAGTGAGAAAACGTAAACGAGTTACAGCAGCAGCAATTCCGAAACTTCAGGTGAGTGAGTGCGTTCGTGAATTCAAATTGCCACAGGCTTTTCCCAGCATGGCCAATGCCGTCAAAAAATCTGCGATGAATGTCAGTCTGGAAAGAGTACGGATGCCTCAGTCTACGATAAGCCTCAAGATAAATTCAGGAAAGATCGATCCAAACACAAAACTTCAAAAGCTCAAGCTGAAGACACCTGATGGACAGGACCTGGGGGAGTTTAACATTCAGGTGCTCCCCACGATGCAGGGAGACAAGTCTAACCCAATGCTGAATACCATCAATCCTGATGGTAAATTTTCACAGATCAAGCTTTCAGGAGACGATGTGAAGAGTGGATCGACTATATCTTCTATTAAGTATCTGCAAAAACCCATTCAGGACGTGTCCAATGTTGATAACACAGCAACACATGGGGTTCTCATTCCAATTTCTCCAATGGTGATGAATGGAAAGAACTACACAGTCCAGAATTCTGCCTGTCAGCAGATTAAAGTCCATAGCAATGGAAAAATCGATCCCATGAGTCCTGTCGCCTTGAATTTCAACAAAATCGAGGCAATTCCCAACGTCAATATCAAGAACGCTAAGAATCTGCCGGCTGGAATGAAAATCAAACTCGTGAATAGGAGAAATGTTAAAGTTAATGGAGTAACACAAATTATAAGCACTGACAACTCGAGTGTTGGAAAAAGAAAGTCGGGGGATCTCCCCCTTAATTCTCGAATGGAACCTAATAAAATTATCAAACTGGAGAGCCTGAACAACCTGGAGACGATGAATTTGCAGAACGATACGTATTATGTTGTGCCTGATGATGAGACTCTGCAGGCTATTCCTGAGTTGGAGCTTCAGAATCGGGTCTCATCCGAAGGTGACACCAGGCAGACTCCCAGGAGCTCCTTGGGACGAGTGAATCTTCTCAGGAAGGACAAGTGGAACTCCACCATTTCGACTAGATCTGAGTGTGACAGCACGAATACGTCAGCTGTTGCTCAGCAGGACGGGGACTTTGGTGTCGACCCTGAACTTGATGATGATCTGAGCGCCCTGGGGGAGGCCCTCAGGTCCCTTCCTGATGTTAATCTCAGGAACAAAGCCCTCGAAGCCCTCAAGAGCGTTGGCATCGGGGCGGAGAGACTCATACCTAAAAAAACCGTTGAACATATTTCAGTGAAGGATTCTGGGACTCAGACTGAGGTCTTTGGTCTCCTGGAGAAGGGGAAGGAGGAATTCATCAAGGCTTGTGATGATCCCAATTTGGAGAGGATTCCTCTGAAGGAGAAGCGTTTCGAAGCCACGGAGAAAAGGCGACCGAGGTTCGATGGGATTGAGTTGGATTCTATGCTGATGAGACTCGCTGATGATGAGAGGGTCAAAAAGGTGAATAATATGATGAAATTCGATCCTAGTACTGAGAAGATCTACCGCATGTTGCAGAGGGACTTTGAGAATGTCAGGAAATACGATGAGAATGGATTTTTGGATATTCATAAGGCTGTTTTCGATGACAATGTCACAGGGGTCAAGAAACAGATTTTACTTTTGAAGGCTTGTAAAATCAGTGTTGATATTCCCACAAAAGATGGACAGGTGAGTGAAAATATTGACTTTCTCGTTCAAAAAAAATATTTCCCCGGGATTAAATCAAATGTACTAATAGATATAATTTTTGCAGGACATTCTGAAATGTAGAAATCTAATCTTTTCGCCTATGTAAATAAATATTTTTTAATTTATATATGTGTATAATAAATAATTGAAACGAAAATATATCATAATTTTATTGTTATGCTCAAATTTCCGGGGAAAATGGGAAATGATAAATGCAGAAATGTGGAACTAAATTATTTTTCAATTATTATTTTAGTCGAGTTTGGAATTGGCGCTTAAATTCGCCGAATCGAATGAGATAATTCGATTGCTATTGAACGCCGGGGCGAATCCTACGTCATCGGAAATAGCTCACGATTCAGCGTTGACGATAGCGAGTAGAAATTCAACGTGGTGTCTTGATCTGCTAATAAAAAAGGCGCCGACAGCTGGGGATCTCAACTACGTCGACGCGGAGGGTAAATTCCGTTGGATTTTCATCAATAAGAATGATTTTCATAAAAACTGAAATAATTCAGAAGCAAAAAAGGACCTTCGACATTCCCTCCTAAAATCAATAGTTCGTTACATTAATTGAATTATCCCAATTCACTTTTTAACTACTCAATTTTCGCATCAGTTTGGTGATAATTTTTGTCAAATATTTATTCTCCGTGAAATGATTTTTATTTCCAGGCTTCGCTGCGATCCATTACTGTTCGCAACAAGGGAATTATGCAGGAGTAATGTCGCTGATCAGGGCAGATGCTGATCTCAATGTTCGTGACGGTAAATCGGGCAGAACACCCCTATTCCACGCCCTGGAGAACGACGAGCTGACCATAGCAAAACAATTACTCGTCAACGGGGCAAAACCGCATATTCCAAATTTCTCCGGTCAGACGTGTTATCACCTGTTTGATGAGATCAAGCACGTCTCGTTGAAAGAATTCCTGACGAAAACTCCAACCAAGAAATAGACTAATCAGAAAAAAAATTCAATGAATTTTACCTCGACGTTCAGTGTTGATTCAGAACGTCGAGATTTTTTTTGTTATCCAGTTTTGTCGTAAGAATTTTATTTATTGTGGGATCCTATTGGATCGTCACTTATTGAATATCAAATTCAGACTTCTAGTTCACATTATTTTCGAATCAAGTAATGGAAAATTTGTACTTGTTATATTTTCACAACTGCCTTCAGAATAATTATATAAATAAAATAGAAATTGTAAATTTTAGAGTTTGAAATACTCAGACTAATGGAAACCTTGCAGATGGAAGTGCCTGGATACAATAGTCATGATCGGAATACGTAATTACACATGAGTTTAGTTACGAAGTTACAAATGTTCACCTTTACTGAATCATTTTATAATAATAAAAATGGTGATCCGAAATAAATGACGAAAATTAATCCCCACGTCAGGATATGCAGAGACAGAAGATAATCCCTGTATTTTCTCTGGATTCTGGACGTTTTATTATGATCAAGGGCCGATAATATCATAATCAAATTTTTATCAGAAGTAAATGACGAGATAAAATCCAGTGGCGGTTACACCTCTTTGATCTCAATTATTATCACTTATTATCTGCGTTATGCAGTATCAATAAATTCGGGCATTACCATAAAAGTTATTGAATCACCAGCTGCACCGAGAGTACAAATTGCAGTCGTCGTCATTACATGTGAACTACAGTAACAAACTTTGAAGTTTCGCTCAACCAAAAAATATCCCCTCAATTTTCTAGAAGAATAACTCCAAGAATTAAAAAATCCCCCATCCACAAAAAACAATAATCTCCATAGTCATTCAAAAGTGACAAATTTTTTTATTTTATTCATTTCATCATTTCAAACTCAAGGTTCACCCGCACGTTCTATTTTTCAACGACAAGTCAATCTGGTAAATTCGTGAGGTTATGACACGATTTACCTTTCTCCTGAGCAAGGAAATGAATCAGGGGAATAACTGAAAAATATAATTGTTGACTGAGTAATTTTTCAAGTGTCGATTAAGAGGATTGAGTTTTAATCATGGATCACCCGAATCACGTGAAGGACCAGCAGAAGAGGTAGACATAGCAGAACATTATTGCTCGGTTCTAACCTAGGAATTGTTATTAATTCCCCCTGCTTTGATACGAAAAAAAAAATCAAATATTTGAAGAAATTAATTGCAAAGTCTCCCCTGTCGCATTGGTGAATAGTTCGTATTATTTCTGCTTTCACTTCTAATTTATTTTTAATTATTGAGGTGTTGGTCCTGTTTGTTGTCATTGAATGATGGGTTTTGATCTCAGCTATGATGCGGATGATGATTTCGCCCTAATGAAGAGGATTAAAATGGAGCCGGAAGCGATTTTAGCACAGGACGATGACATCATGGCACACCTTCACCAGGAGAGCTCTGATCTCGAGGTCGAGCCTAGTTTTACATTGGAAAGCAACAATGGAGAGGACAACACAGAAGGGGTGCTTATGCAACATATGGATATTAGAGAACCTCTTTCCACTCTCAGGAATTTATTGGAGCAGAGACTTGGTGTCGAGCTCATTGATTATTCGTTCTGGCTCCAAGATGCGCAGATGGTAAATTTTCTCAATCAATCATTGGATAAATTGACATGATTCAATAATAAAGCATAATGTTCTTCAATAATTATCGACTTATTCAGCTTCAAAGTCTTATATATTTATTATCTTATAAATACGTAAATTCTATTCAATCCAACAATATTCCACTATGAAATCTTTATTAACTACAGAATACTCAAAAAATGATGTGTTCTAGTAAAGCACATGGAAAAAATCTAGCACAAAGAAAAAACCGGGAATTCTAATAAAAATGAGGATCTTCCTTTGCAGGATAATTGAAAATAAAATCACGAGAAAATCTCACTGACTATTTTTAATCTCGTTTCATTTAATTTAATTTAATCTTAATCCTCATTTTATGCATTTTTTTTAATAATTTATATCGGAATTTGGTTTAATGATTATATTTGTAGCTGGAGAGTCATAAAAACTTGGTAGACCAGTGCGTCCAAGGCGAGGGTCTCGTCCAGGTTAATGTCCAGATAAAAGCCGCCCAGAGAAGGATAAACATAGTGGATGTGCTTAAACCAGCTGAGGACTACGTAGATATGCCGGAAGGTGATTAAAATCCCTTCGACGATTAAAAAGCCCGTAGTTCATATTTTTTTTTAATGGGTTTTATGATGGTTTTACAGCAGCTCCCGTTGCTCCTCAAGCGGATAATAAACAGAACGTCATCAGGTGGCTGGTTGATGCTCAATATAAACAGGAACAGGTATTAATAATCGTAATTAATGCTTCACTGAAAAATTATTTTATTGACGATTTTATTTATAATGACATTTTCTTCAGGAACGGTTGAAAATTCCAACAGACCCGAAGAACTGGACCCAGACTCACGTAAAACATTGGCTTCAGTGGGCAGTGAGACAATTTAATCTCGTTTCTCTCAGATTAGCTGATTGGAATATAACCGGAGCTCAATTGTGTGATCTCACTCTCGAAGAATTCCAGGCGAAAGTTCCTCTGGATCCTGGTGAGGTCTTCTGGACACATCTAGAGCTGTTAAGACAGTGTAAAATTGTTGGTGAGTAGGAAATATAATTTTTCATTTTTGATATTATGATATAATTGATATAATAGTAAAAGTTATTTCATAAAAAAATATTCTTTTTTATTCTTAGGATTAGCAAATATAAAAATTGATATTATGATTCATACCACGTTGTGAAGAATGCGGATGTTGTCAACGAAATTATTAATCTTTTTAATTTTGAAGCTGTCGTTCAGAAAGAAAGGCAAGACGACGGTTCGGCGGAAAAATCCATAAAAATGCGTGCCAATGCCAAGCCATCGAAAGCTCGTGTGATGAGTCAACACACACGACTAGTTGGTGTACCAGTTCAAGAGTCATCCCACACACCACTAATAACATCAAGCCGCACAGTGAACAGTGGTCAAATTCAGCTGTGGCAGTTTTTACTCGAATTACTGACGGATCGTGAGCACAGAGATGCCATTAGATGGGTGGGTACTGATGGAGAATTCAAGCTGAATCAGCCGGAAGCTGTGGCACAACTGTGGGGTGCACGTAAGAACAAACCATCCATGAATTACGAAAAATTGAGTCGTGCACTGAGGTATTATTACGACGGTGATATGATTTCTAAAGTACATGGAAAGAGATTCGTTTACAAATTCGTTTGCGATTTGAAGCAACTCCTTGGATATTCGGCTGCTGAGCTCAGCAGACTGGTAGAAGAGGGCAAGAGATATTTTTGATTTCTTTAACCTTTTTTTGCTTTCGAATGGATTGCTGATTGATAATGAATTTAATCATTGGGAAAGTGGTAAAACGCAATCGAAAAAAATTTATCGATTTTTCACATGAAAATTATTTCGAAATAAAATATATTTTAATGAATTCGGCAAATAATTTTCTGTTAAAAATTTTTCTGCAGTATGAAAAAATATATCTCGTGATACTTTATCCCGAAATTTGTTGTTTTTCAAATGAGTCCGCAATCTATGCAAATTGAATGTATCTTTTTTATTCAATTAATTCTGGAATGCGGGAAAATAGAGGAAAATTTTGCTTTTGAAATTCACTCCAAAAATAAAATTATTTTACCACTTCGCCGTTAGAATGAACTGGTGTTCATTGATGGATAATTAAATTATCTAAATTCAAAAGAACATCAGAAATTTCAGTAATTTGCTCAGTAATTGTTGAGGATACAGTATCCAGTGCATTTGTGTATTTTTATATTATTGTAATACATTTGCAACTTAAAGTGTTTAAAAAGTATAAATAAGTACAGAATAATCACAATTTTCACTCGTTCTGATGTTCAGTCCCCCTACGCTTGTAAATAATAAGCACTAAATAGAATAAGGGTTTCAATAAAGGACCTTGAATAACACTTCCATCCTCCTGAACAACTATTTATGTACCTTATTCTATATATCTATCTACAAAAATTCTATCCACCAAGTTCTTTGCATTGTGGTTACAACATTGTCAATATTATAAATGAACAGCAATAAAAATTGCAAGTCTTCTAAAACAGTTTAAAAAATCGTTTAAAAAATCGTTCGACCGATTAAATTCCTCCCGAAAACTGTAAAATGCCCAGAAAATGTAAAAACACACAACAAAGAAGCTAAAAGCTACATTTTCTGGTCAATCCTGATGTTTTTCGTATGATCTCCCTCGCCAGAACTTCAAAGTGACCATTAAAACATTCACTGTCTCCCCCCCCCAAACCCTCAATTACCTCAAAGCCATCTCTACCCCCAAGTAACAACTCCACTCTCTCATCCTCGTTCATCCAAAAAAAGGCAGAACTCATCGCCAATACCAGAGAATCTAGCCTGTGAGATATCGGACGCGACGTCACAAGTTAGGGTCTCAGGGAACCGGCGAAGCGGTGCAGGCATTATATATAAAAAAAACAAGAGTAAAAAAAAAAATTATTTTTCGAAACTTTCTCATATGTTTTTTCTCTAAATCGCCTGACCGCCATAGCCCTTTGCACAATCCCCCCATCCAATTCATTTCTTACCCATGCAAATAAATTTAAAAAACCCTCTGGACTTTCTCTCTTGCACTGGTCCTCTCACTCCCACTCTCCACCTTCATCTCTTGTGTACCTCACCCAGCACTTTCTTCTCCATTTCTCCTCTCGGTTTCTTCTCCATAAGAAAAAAAAAAAAAAAACTACAAGGGCGACAGCCGATGTCTCCAGCCCCTCTCCATTCCCAAAAAACCTGAAGAACCATGGAAAAAGGGGCCTCATCCAACGTTGGGGCGCCGACGACCGGGAAAGTTAGCAAGTTGTACAGTGGATTTCATATCTGCAATGAAAAATTATTGCAATTTCCCTACAATACAACCTACTACCTCACCCAGGCATCGCCGCAGTCTTCCGACTCTCGTCGTTGTGAGAAAAAAAGAAAAATTAAAGAAATTACTGAGCTGATCGATCGTGTGATTGATTAATCGATTGATTGATGACAGATCCAAATAACATTAATGAGACGACCAAATGAATGTGAACAAGTTGCTCGAGAATAGTTTTGATGAAGGAATTTACTTTTTTTTCTAAAGCACGTGCTCTCTTCAGTGATGCTCTTAGCTTTTCGATGATCCGATTGTATCGTTAAAATGTCGTATCAATCTTTCGGCGATGATAAGTCACAAACGACGGCCTGACTACATGTACCGGTAGAAAGGAGCTTGCGGTATGCATATAAAATAGCTCACAAGTTCGGATCTACGGGTTAGTGTCATCAAGTAAAGCTGCCCAATGATTATTTATCTGATTTAAATCTATCTTAAATGTCTCTCTCTTGTTGGTAATTATAATTTCCTTGGGGTCACTATTTTTGCTCATCGGTGATATCTTCTGTCATCGCCCTCGATGATTTTGCATTTTATGCTTCTCTGCATGATGCGGTTTGTCGACCGGATTATGTATGTGGGCCTCACTCATCTCTCTTGTTGAATCTGTGCTCTCTATTCTTCGTTTTTTCATGGTTCAGGTTCTTTCTGGATTTCGCCCGCTCTCGGACTCATATAATATGGCTTCTTTTTTTAGCTTTTTATTTGGGGTTTTGTTTTCTTCGGTAGGGGAGATAGAAGAGTCCTGCGGGGCCAGGTGGTGTGAATTCAGGTTCAACTGGAGACCCCCTGTAGACGTTGGCTCTCGCCCTCTCACTCTCAATCTCTCTCTCTCTCTCTCTCACCTGGAAGCAATAAGAAGAGAGGGGGATTAATTCATGATGACGTTTGGACGACTAGGGAAGAATTAATGGCACGCAGGATTTGTCGAGGGAGTTATTAACATTTGGGAGACATTTTGTTTATTGAACGTCCAGACGATTTTTTGGAAAATATTAATTTCATTCGGCGATATTATCAGGGGAAAAGGATTTATCCAGAGATCTATAAAATGGATTTTGGTTGATTTATACGAAAATGTTTTAATCAAGAGCTGTTGAAATCAGGGCGATTTAATTTATTCGATGGAACGAGAGCTCAAATGGGCCTTATCCAGTTTTATGGAATTTAAGTATCTCTAGTATATTTTTGTGGTGAGAGTAGATTTTTTTATGAACAATTTTTGTGAAGATTTACTGTCTGGGTAAGTGTGGAAGACGATGATTTGAAGATAGCGTGTGAGTGGATGACGTGTGTAGAAAATTTTATTGTAATTCAACAGGTGGCGAAATAAAATCCAATCTCTTTGTAGTATGATATCTTGCGCGAGATCATTTTTCATTTTTTATGTAGGAATAATTTCTTTGCGCGATTCAATTGACTCATTTGATAATTGCGTTATGCAATTTTATTTCTCATTAGAAATTAATTTCCACTTTCTAATTGATAAGGTATTATCCAGATAAATTTTCTAATCCACTGAAAATTTAATAGACCTCAACATTCAATTTTCCAACTGAAGTTCAAATTTCGTTCCATTTTTCCGGGCCCCTCGGTTTTCTCGAATTTTTAAAAATAATAAGAACACCCACGTGATTCTAAATCAATAAAAATCCCCCACTGATGAAAAATATTTCTTTCTCAGTCAAAAAAGAAAAAAATTCTAAAGCATCCCTGAAAATCCTAAAAATTCCCACAAAATAATGAGACTGAACATTGAATTTAATTGCCTTAATTTTCCATGAAAAATGAGGATAAAAAAAGCTGAAAGGGGTGTATTTTAAATTGAAAAGGGGTACGAAAATCAGAAAGAAGAAAGATAAAATGTGAAACCCCGTGGGCTGACGCCAATGGTGGGGCCAGCGTCCCGGGAATATTCTGAGGAAGAGAGCAGTGGAGGAGGAGTAAAAAATAAGACTGAAAAAAAAAAAAGCCCGAAGGAAGGTGGGATCCTCAGAGGGACGAAGGTAAAGAGAGAAATGGGAGGCAACCTCCGAGGGCCATTGTAAAAATCCCCATCCCCCACCCTCGTAGACAGTTTAATGGCCTCTCTGGCCGCCAGCCGGGCCATGGCTAAGGGCCCGTTTCCAATTGACCGATTAAGCCTCTCTCGTGATACGCATCGTAACATTATTTTTTTATTTTTCCCTTTTTACCCCCCATTTTAAACAAAAAACTGTGCTATTCTCCCTCATTTCTTCCCTCGCAACTCTTCATTTTCTCCTTTGTTGCATGAGAATTCACAGGGTAGGGGGCGATTGGAGAGGGAAAAAAAAAAAAAAAAAAAAAATCATGGCTCAACTGTTGAGTGGGGCCCCCTCATTATTCCCCACCCCCCACTGATCGTTACACCGAGAGATTAATATTTTTCCACTGATGATCATTGTAATCAGCCCGAGACAACCATTTCAATGTACCACTTCTTGGTTTTTTATTTTTATTTTTTATCTTTCAGCTGTTCATCTTCTTCGGGGTCTTTTCGAGTTGGTTTTGAGGAACTAAACCCTCGAGGAATCGAGATACCCAGCAGTTACAGAATCCCCTGTATTTTTCTGTTGCTCAGGATAAAGGGGATGAGTTTTGTGGAGCCTTATGGGCCAATTATCAACCATGAATTAACGGCAGTCATGAGAGAATAGGATTTATGACTTGACTATGAGTCTTTGATTGATTCCAAGTGTTTTGAGTGGCCGCTCTAAATTTTATTTAATAATAATATTACCCCTCAAAATATTACAACTTAGAGGATTATATTATATAAATTGTTCACTGCCCAGAAATATTATACCGACAAAATATTGTCGTCGTTGATTATTTTTCAAGTAATACCCCCAAGTGTCCATTATCCTGATTTTCTTGAGTTGGAGATTATTAAGACCTAGATTATTTTTTTTTCTGTCAAGGGATCAATATATATTAAGTACGAATGAATTGAATTCAGTATTAGATCTGTGATGATGAGTTTCTGTGATTTAGAATATTTAAAAATTATTGGTATATTGAGAGATAATTGTGGCAAGTAAAACTATACGGGGGTAATTGACAATTATCTACCAAATATGAGAATTTATTGTTTTTTAATTGTTCTTGAAATGCCCCGACATAATACGTTTTTGTTGAAATATTTATAGCTTTAATATTTTGAAGCAACAATTTAAGTTGCAATATTTTCTGTTGTGATTTTTTGGGGTAATATTTAGAGTTGGGTTGTTTTAATGGGTAACCAGTGTTTTAGGGGGTGGTAGGGGGGCTCGGGGTGATTTTCAATGTTGCTTGGGAATTCCATTGGGTAATTCTGGGTATGACAGTTTAGGTTTGGAAGATGTGAACCCTGAGATCCGGTCGCAAGCCTTTTATTCTCTCTCGTCTCATTCGTCCCTTCGGACGTGTTTAGTTCCTTTTTGGGTGCAGTTTTATGCAGAGAAATGATCTTTTCATTGCTTGTAA